GACCATATCTGCCTGTATGCTGCCATGTTGACATGATAAGTCAGCTCCAGTGAAATGTTTTCCATTATATTAGTTGCTATGGTCATGGTGTCTCTTTACAGCAATAGAAATCCTGACTAAGACAACTACTAAGACATCAAATGAACATACAGTATAAGTAAACAGGAATGATTGAAGATCATGGGCTAGCTTGAGTAGAGCCATCCATGCTAATTTGTGGGAATCCCTGACAATATTCCTGTACTCTGTTTTAGCTTAGCTATCTGATTTACTTTTCTATATTGGAAAGTCAAATCCACTCAAATCCCTTCAGACAAAAGATGAAGAAGAAGAGGAGGAGGAGGAAGAGGAGGAGAAGGAGAAGGAGGAAGAGGAGGAGGAGGAGGAAGAAGAAGGAGGAAGAGGAGGAGGAGGAGGAGGAGGAGGAGGAGGAGGAGGAAGAAGAAGAAGAAGAAGAAGAAGAAGAAGAAGAATAAGAAGAATAAGAATAATAATAAGAAGAAGATTCTCAACATGTGGGTTGTGACCCCATTAGGGTTTACATATCAGATACTTACATTATGATCCCTAACAGTAGCAAAATAACAGTTATGAAGTAGCAACAAAATAATTTTATGGTTGGGGAATCACCACAACATGAAGAACTGTATTAAAGGGTAGCAGCATTAGGAAGGTTGGGAACGGCTCTAGATAAAATGATATTTCTTTGGTTAATGGTAAGTGTTGTGTTTTAAAAATGTCATGGCAGCAGCCTTGGTGGGTAGAGCCAAGGGGCATAGTGGAAGGTCACTCACACCATGTAGACAACGCTCACATGCAGAGTTTTATTAAAGGGGGGGAAGGGAGAAGGGAAGAGTGCGAAAGCAGATGGGGGCTGAGAAGAGAAAAAGGAGAGGAAGAGAAGACAGAAAGAGATGGGAAAGTGGGGAGAGAGGAGGTGCAGACTAGACCTCATGGGGATAGAGAGAGAGAAAGATGAGTGGAGCCCACCTCTTACAGGCTTAGTGCATGCACAAATGGGCTGTGTAGAATGACATTGTCAGGACCCTGAGCCAACCAAGGTGTTGCCTGTGCCGTGGCCAGGTCCCCCAGGGGCGGGACTGAATGCTAACACTCCTCCCTTTTGGTCATTATAAAAAGGGTGAGTTGTGGATGGCAAGCAGGGTGGGAATGAGGGGTGCCAAATTCTGAAGACTTCTTCCTGCTGACTTGGGATGAAGAGGGGAGGGGGAGGTTAGGAGTTGGGGTCACGCACAGCGGGAGGTGTGAGTGAAGGAGCATTCAGTTAGCTGCCATCATGGAGACCTCAGGCACCTGTTCCTTGAGGGAGCTGAGAAGGAAGATTGCTAGGAGAAAAAATAGATTTCCATCAGTGGCCCTGCAAATGGTGCTAATCATGGGGAAAGTGATAACTGCCAGAAAGAATGGAACACAGAAGTACCCTGGTTGTACAGAAGAGGCAAGGGTGAGTGAGTGAGGCATGAGAGCAGATATGCCCTTCATTGGGACATCCTGGAATACAAGGTTCCAGTTACTGGGTAGGTGCCCACTTGAGCCTGGAGAGGTGATACCAGTGGTGAAGTTGCGGGAGCTTGGGGCATGCCAAGTTGAGGGATGATGTGTTCTTCAGGAGTACCTGAGCCATCACATCTGCTGTGTCTCTGGAGGTGGGAAACACATCTATCCATCCCGAAAAGGGTCAACAAGTTAGGGGATAATGGAGTTTTTATGAGTTGGCATGTGGGTGAAGCTAACCTGCCAGTATCTGCCCAGTTAACATCCTCAGAGCTGGTACAGGGGCTGATGTATCTGGAGGACATCCTGCACTTGGAGTCTGGCAGGAGGGCTGGACCTGTGCAGGAACCTGCAAGTGTCTGTAAAACAACTGGAACAGATTCATATCTTGGTGTCATAGCAAAAGGCTGGGATGCTTCCATACCTTCTCTAATGTGGAGAGTGGGGGGAGAGCTGTTAATTGGTAAATCTAAAGGTCCCTGGCCATCAAAAATCATCAGATCTGAGAAGGATAAGTAAATGAGCAGAAGAGTCACCAAACAGCATCAGAGATCTGAGAAGGATAAATTTTACCTGCATTAGTGATTGAAAGTGACAGAGACATACTTGCTGGCTATCTAGACAGCCACCCCAGAGTCCTCCCTAGTCAATGAAGGCAGAGATCTCAGTTTTTGGCTGCCAGGCCTCAGAAGATCTAACAGTTGTGGGGTAAGAACTTGTGGGGAGGACCAGCCTACCTTGTCTGGGCAAAAATGAGGCAATGGATTCCCCAGAGTCCTGTTGTTCACGGTCTGAAGAAGGCCCTGGCAGCAGTCGAGGCAAAAGGCAGTTTTGCTCAGTGACTGGCATTGTCATTCTGGAGCAAGTTACGGGTAGAGGTTTTTCTGTGCCCATCCATCTTCTTTGGAGGAAATAAGGGTGCTGCCAGGAGCTGGTGTGTCTCTCTATCACAAAAAGCTTTTCAATTAAACATTTTAAATGCCATATTCTGCAGATCTCTGAGCATCTGAGGACTGTCTGTCTATTAGGTACGAATGACTATCAACTTGTGTTCCCTAACGGTCTTCAATGTTAGCAGCTTTCATAAGATGAAGAAAAGGGGCTTGTGAATTGGGGTGTGGCCCAATTCTGAGAAAAGGACCCTCTCAGGGGACCAGAAACTCCATTATAGTATATATATATATATATATATATATATATATATATATATATATATATATATATCTTGTTTATGAAATACCTGATTTAATCAAATCTATGCCATCATTTATTTACATTCTCTAGAAGCTTGGTGTTGAACACTTGGCAAAGACATGGGTGTAAATTTCTAAGTTAGCTTTTGTTAATCTGAATAGATCATTATAACTTTAAATTTCTATTAACATATAGAGTATATTATAAACCAGAGTTGAATCAAATATAGCTCTGCATTTCTATCATCATACATAAAGCCAATACCAATCCAAAATATTTGAGGCTTATTGCTTCCTTACTTTAGAAGGAGATAAAATGAACAGAGAGGTCATTAGGACTAAATGTATTTTTTTAACCTTAGTATTGGCTTGCTGTGATCATATAGTGGTTAGTACTCTGCATTGTGGCTGCAGCAACCTCAGTTCAAACCCGAGTCATGACACCAACGTTCTATTTTAAAAATGGAGTGGCAGCCTTGGCGGGTGGAGCCAAGGGGCATGGTGGAAAGTCACTCACACCATGCAGATGGTGCTCATGTGGAGAGTTTTATTAAGTGAGGGAAAGGAGAAGGGAAGAGAGAGAAAATGGGCAGAGGCTAAGGAGAGAAAGAGAAGAGGAAGAGAAGACAAGAGAAAGAGATGGGAAAGGAGGGAGAGAGAAGGTGCAGACTTGACTTCATAGGGATAGAAAGAGAGAGAGAAAGAGAAAGATGGGTGGAGCCCACCTCTTAAAGTGGGCTTAGTGCATGCACAAATGGGCTATGTAGGATGATGCTGGCAGGGCACTGAGTTGGCCAAGGTGTTGTCTGTGTATTGGCCAGTACCCCAAGGGGTGGGTCTGACTGTTAACAGTAAGCACACTTAATTTTTTTTGGTATTATTAATGAGACAAGATAAAATTTAAAAAGCTCAAATATCTTATTGGATAAATATAACCATTGTAAGAGATGCTAATGACGTGAGAGGGAGAACTCCTACGAGTGTCATGATCCAGACCTTGGAAGGGACAGAGGGAAGGATACACTGAGTGACAAACCAAAGCTGGTGACCAGTTTAATTGATGTCCTAGAGAAGGATAATGGGAAACTGAGGATCAACCGTGAAAACCAAATGTGTCAGCCTGTTTTGTAAAGAGGATCCTGGCTTTTGGAGTACAAAAGCCACACAGGTAGGAAACAAATCCAAGATCCCACAAGTTTATTGATGCTTAAAAAATGGTATGTGTTACTAAAGAAAATATGTAACCCTAAACTCAGTGCCCTAGTGGAGCCCTGAGACATGGGATGGGGCATTTGAATGATGGGGTTCAGTGATTATCATGAACTATAATTCTGTTTACCCTCCAAATGTTTTGAAGAACGTCCCAAATCCTTACTCTACAGTAACTCGCATTTTATAAGTTCACCTGTAATATAGGAGGTTCCAATATAATCACTTTCCTTAAAAAATGTGGTCCTTGATCCCACTGTTGTCAAATGATATCTCATTGTGGCTTTGGTTTGATTACTGATGGCTATAGATTCTGACATCTAGTCATGTGACTTGTTGACTGGCATTCTTGGCTCTGCTTTGGAGTAGTTTCATATAAATCCTTTGACTGTTTTAAATTGAGTTGTCTATGATTCTGGGCATCAAAACCAGAGCTATGCATGCAAGGCAAAGACTCTACCAACTGAGCTACATCCCCATCCCCCAGGTTGGCCTAAATTAGTTTAGTGAAAACCATTTTCTTATTTAAGACAAAAATAGTCTAAGAGGGGATATGATTTTGTGGTTAAACATTTTGCTAAATACTTTTTTAAGGGGAAAGGAAGTCAAAACATGAAAGAATGGAGGCATACAGAGAAATTAAGAGCTTAGACTTTTGAGATAAACTTCAAGGCTCTAAACCTAGCTTTCTCATGATAAGTGGAGGATCCTGGTTGTCTTCCTAAATGTTTCAGTTCCCTAATATTTAAAATAACAGTATCCAGGTCTTCCAGTAGTTATGATAAGGATTAGGTGGGATAATATTTTTTAAATGCTTCAAAAACATCACCTGACATAGACACACAGGCCAGATGCCTTCTTAATAAAGTGGGGTGCACTTCTCATTTTAATTTCCCTCTAATGTTACTTCCCCAAGTTTTATCTCCTCATGTTCACCCCAGAAAAAGATTTACTGACATTTTCTGAAAAACTCCTTTTTACACAGAACTACCTGAAACACAGCTCATTCATGGGTCTGGAACTTCAATCTAGTTTCTACCAAACAGTTAACGGATGTCAAAAGAGAAAAAGTGACCCACAAGATTATCAAATGAACACTTTATTAGAGTCATAACACTTATAAAATAAATTTATCAGATTTTAAAGATCAACCAACACTTTCTCGTTTTTTTACAGCTAAGACATGTAAAGAGATTCTTCAACGCCATTGTCTTTGTTCAAGTGCTTGTCAGTCAGCTCACAAATCTAAAATGCAATCCATCTATAGATCTAAGTGTTCACAGTTAGTGAGCTTTGGGTTTGGGTCTTACTAATCTAGAAGCAATCCATTTACAAAGGTACCGATACATCTGAATGAATTCATTTAAGTTAATACCACACAAAGCATGGCCTGTTACACCTTGGGGAAAAAAATCTCAACTAAATTCTGGTGTACTACGTTTTAGTGATTCCAAGTACAACATATATTATATCTTTATGGCACATTTATGACTTTGTAATATATAATTCATAATACAGGTTTTTGGTGTCTGGTCTGGAGCTGGAAAAAACGAAGGAAGCAGGACATTATAGAAGAGGTAAGACTTGTAAGGTTGTGAGACTGATTCCTTCAAGCTACATACAGAAACATGTCTCTTCTTTAGCTGTATCACAAAGCGAGTCCCCAATATCTTCTTCTTCTAGGAGGGTATTAGATAAACAGCACTTGGCCACTGGTTATGCTATTGAGCATTGATTATGTTGTTCATTCACGTTTTTCTCTCTGTTCCATGGAATCCAATACTCCAACTGCATGGCACTCTTAGGTGATGTGTCAGCTAGAAAGCAATCCTCAAGCCTCCTTATCCAGAGGCAGCCCCACTAAAGCAACAGGCAAGTAGCTTGTACGAGAATATGGTGGGAACTGTGGCCTAGCTCTAATTTATTCTCTATTTAAGCCACTTGTGGTATGTTGCCAAGCCCATGATGTCAACAGGTGGATTAGGATTGTGTTCTGTACTATTAAGCCAGAGCTAGCTTTTGTGTTAAACTGACTTTGTTTGTCTGACATCAATGGAAATACAACATAGATATCTGGGCTATTATCAAAGCATGTAAGAATCTATAGCTTTATGTTATAGTTAACATTCTACTCAAATTTAACTCAGAAAATAATGCAAAAACAATCAGAAGTAAAAATTCAACTCTTCAGAGAGCTATTTGGTAAGGCTTTACATACATAAATATTTATATATTCATGCACAGGGCAAACATCCACATTCCATGGCATAAATAAACCAAAGTAAGACATCAGTGCGAGATACCAGTTCCAGTAGTGATTAATTGCCTCTGGGGATCTTGTCTTAAGCACTCTCATGTGAGATCTGGCTGAGCTCTTAGGAAATCATTAGTTTGGAGTTTATTTCATACCTTATTTTTTTCTACACCCAAGGCTCTGTTGGGGTTTGCTTGAGAAGCTATATGCCCTTCCAAAGGTAAGAATTGGACTGTTAACAAAAGGCAATGTGATTATTGCATAACAAAATAAAATATATTATGTGGCTTGTCTAATGAGGTTGATAAACTTTCATGATTAGTTCAATATACAGCAGTAGTTGACAGAATTGTGGTCTGTGGACCAAATCCAGTCTTGCTCCCTTTTTGTAAATAAAGCTTTATTAGGATATATACATACTCATTTATTTACATGCCGTCTATAGCTGCTTTTATGTTACTACAGGATAGAACAATTGCCACAGAAACCATATGCCCTACATATGTGCTACTGACCCTTTGTAAAAAAATGTGTATCATTCTCTGTTTTATATTAAAGATAGAATTGAATGAGAAGCTTGCTTGGGATATATTGTTTTAGTTATTTACTATTATTAAGGTTCTGGTGACTTAAGAAACAAAAGGAATACTATTGTTCTGTGAACAGTGTCTGTATATTTTAAGAATATGCAGGGGAAATGTATTTAAAAAAGAAAAGAAAGATGAAAATGAAAGAATACTTCTCTAATGTCAGAATAAAATTAAAGCCCTACCAACGTAATGAACCACAGCTTTCACTTAGGTTCTCCCTGTACAAAGCAAATGATGCTTGGAATGTTATATTGGGACAAATGGTACCCAAGTGATCAGACATACAAAGCAGACAAATGAAACTAGCACACAACTGTCAGTTTCCAAGGAGTGTTATGGTCGCCATCTTCGCAAAGCCAGACCCAAACTGCAACCATAACAAGCTGTCGTCATAAAGGTAAAAACCTAAGAAAAGAAAAAGAAAAAAAAACTGCTATCAGATTCACAATATGGACTTTTAGAAAATGTATCCCAAAGAGACCACTGAATGAACACTCACCAACTGACTTAAAGATGCTCCAATACAGAAGAATATTTCACACTGATCTATGTTTTGATGATTTTGTTTTATCCCCTCATAGAACTGAGCTTCCCTTTGTACCCTACAGCCCTTAATTTTCAAATCTGCAGTCAGCCTAACATCATTTGCTCACATATCAGGCTCACTTGATAAGTATTGTTGAAACCCCAGGCACTGTATTAAGAAACTTAGTCTGAGTTATCTAATCATCCAATAGTTTCACAGCTAAGAAGACAGTCACTAGCAAACCCCGGAGACACATTCAATCATTTCTGTGAGTTTTCGAACTCAGTATACAAAACCCACAGGAATGAATCAGGAGTCTGGCTCTTTGTCATGTGGGGGCCAGTCCTCGCACAGAAGCCCAAGCCCTGCTCTGAGCTGCTTCCTCGGTGTCACTGAGGGCTTCATTAACCCCAACTGTGCATACATCATTGCACTTAGTGTGGATAAGCAAATAGTCCACCTTGTTCTCACGTGACACTTAGAGGCTTGTGATGGAAAGGAGATTACAAGACAATCCATTTCAGAATGATAAAATGTCACTATCTCGGGTAGAGACTCTTTTTTTTTTTTTTTTTTTTTTTTTTTTTTTTTTTTGGTTTTTCGAGACAGGGTTTCTCTGTGTAGCTTTGCGCCTTTCCTGGAACTCACTTGGTAGTCCAGGCTGGCCTCGAACTCACAGAGATCCGCCTGGCTCTGCCTCCCGAGTGCTGGGATTAAAGGCGTGCGCCACCACCGCCCGGCTCGGGTAGAGACTCTTAACCAGAAAACTGCCACCTGAGAAAGGGGGGCAGATCCCGCCACAGGAATTTGTCACAGTTAATTAACCCTTCCCATTCTGCTTGTCTCTGTAATGGATTTCTAATGTAGACAATGTCCTCTGAGTGAGAATAATTGCTTTAGGAGAAGCAATTATCAGTGAGAAGGAAAGTCCCTCATTCTCAACTATACGGAGTGAAAAGGAAAAGCCAGAGTTTTAACCCAGTGTCACCCATGAATGACAGATCAAGTTTAGCTGCTGAGAACTCAGGAGCTAGAGTCCTGACTGGACCAGAGTGGGTGGATAAAATGGAATGTCACAAAAGACTGGAAGCATTGGTCCACACATGGAGGCGGCTGCACTCTAGCAGAGGGAGGAAGAGACAGGTCTCCAGAAGAGGCACGTCCAGAAAAGAACACTCCAGAGAACTCTAAAAGTTGGGCCCTTTAGGGGGTAAGGGCTAAAGAGGAAAAGACACTAGGTTCACTAATGCATTAAAACTATTAAATATCAATCAAGACATTTCATTTCAGAAAGCAATTTCATTTCGTGATAGTTTTAAAAATTATCAACGAAAAGAAAAAAACAGTATTTTTTTTGCATTATTCAATACAAAGTGTCGAGTTCACTACAGTGTATGAAGGAAAGAGGAAAAATGGTTTAAAGTCCCCATGGAAGGCTTCCTCCTGTATCCCATCTGTTATAATGGCTGGTGAATTTGTCTTCCCATTCACTGACACTGACCCCAAAAATAATAATTGAAACTTATTCATGTCAGCCCCACTCCCCAAAACTCCCTTCTACATGGCAGGCCCAAGGTAAATATGCAACCAATAAACCCAATTAAAAATGGGTACAAAGGAGAAAAGAGCAAGGCTAGAAACAGACCTCCCTTACTGGGTCTGAAAATTCAGAAAGGGAGAAGACATCAGTGAATTCTTACAAAGTCAAGTACTGTCGACTCATTATCATCTCAGAGAATGTCAACATCTTTGGGTTGCAGTTGAGTCACACCATACAATGCAGGGGATGACAGTACTTTGCACATAGGATCACTGGACAGATAAATAGCTATTACACGTTTAATTTTTTTGTTTGTTTTTCGAGGTAGGATTTCTCTGTGTAGCTTTGGTTGTCCCATAACTATCTCTGTAGACCAAGCTGGCCTCAAACTCACAGAGCTCCACCTGCCTCTGCCTCCTGAGTGCTGGGATGGAAGGTGTGCATCGGCACTGCCTGGCTTACATGTTTAATTCTAAAGGCCACTATTATAAGAGTACTGCTGCCCGAGGACTCTCCCGGATGCTTGGCCATGGAAGGACAGCGCTTTCCTCAGGGAGCACTTACTGTGGCGGCCACGTTGATGTTGTACTGGTTATCATCCAGGAGCGGATGCACAATCATGGTGGTGTTGCATTGCAGGTCGTGCAGGGAGGTGGCTGCAGCTTCCAGTAAGAAGGCTCCAAAGTAGAAGACAAACACTACAAAGTGGTAGACAAAATCCTGAAAGAGGCAAAAAAAAAAAAAAAAAAAAAAAAAAAAAAGGCATTTGTAGGTAAGAATTGTAAGATGTTTTCCTGTTTTTTATTTTCAATTGAAGTTTTAGGTAGGAAAGCTCAGAACGTGTAATCAAATTGTCTTAAGTAGATTCGTTGTTGATTTTGAGTGCTTTAGCAAATCCAGGCCATTAGAATCTAAATGAGCCCACCCCTAACTGTGGAGGGACGCCAACTGTTAGCTGCTGGGAGAGGGAGGGATAAGTTGAGCATGCACCAAAGGAAGACCACATGTTCAAAAACATTTGTGGGACACAAGCTGATCTTGAAGCATGTTTTAAAAAAGGAGCCCTCCAAAGGCTATGTAGAGAAACCCTGTCTCAAAAAACCAAAAATAAAAGGAGCTACAGAGTGGGTGCTTGGGTGACTATGACCAAAACATGCCATATGAGAAGCTGCAAACTCTCAAAGAACAAAAAATATCAGCTGGGGCTGGATAGATGGCTCAGAGGTTAAGAGCACTGACTGTTCTTTCAGAGGACCAGGGTTCAATTCCCAGCACCCACATGGCAGCTCACAACTGTCTGTAATGTCAGATTCAGGGGACCCGACACCCATGGCAAAAACACCAATGCACATAAAATAAACAAATTAAAAAAATATTGGCTGATCTATTTTATTTGGTTCAATAGCAAACTTTCTTGTATATTGAGTTTTATAATAAAATATATCACTTTAGATTAATATACAGAGATATCAATATTAATTAAAATAAGATAAAAGGTCTTTAAATTTAAAACTAAGGTAAACGCCATCTTTAAAGTTCAAGTAAAATTATATTTAAGTTATATCCTTTTAAGAATTTCATATAATTAATACATATTTTATTTTTAGTATTTTCTATTACAACTATAATTACATATTATCCTGTATTCTGCAAGATAGACTTAGTGATAGAATTCAATGGCATACAACCTTACATTTCATTAAAAACAAAGAAAATATAGTTCTGAAAAACAGTAATTGTTTAGGTTATTTTGTGCATTCCTGGGATTAATGTGAAGCATAATCTTTCATAATCCAGTTTCACTTGAATTGGTATATCATCCACATGCTATTTTGTATTTACAGCTGCCACATTGCAGTGACTTAGTCTGCATAACTTCTCATCCTTACAGTTATCAGTTATCATTTGTTATCTGCTTTACAAACAAAATTTTGTCTTTCTTTTCACACAAAGGTTAACTTTTGGGAGTAAGGTCAGCACCATGCTTCTCTGCTTCCAAAGTCAACTTTGTTTCATTAAAAAAGTTAAAATTATGAATAATCTTAACTGACAATTTGAAATTATCTATTTATTGTGTATATGTTTTTAAATATGCATACATTATGAAATAGCTAAGTTGAACTACTTAACAAATGTATTTTTTCACATACTCACCTTTTTAATGGTGAGAGCAATCAAAAGCTACTCATCAATTTTCCAGTACACATTGCCTTTAACTAGAGTCTATACTACAGAGCCTTTGGAGGTACACTTTCTTGCTGGGATACACTCTTTGGCAAATGCCTTTCCAACCCCCTCTCTCCAACAACCCTTATAACGACCACTTTGCTCTCTACTTCCGTGAGTTCATCTTTTTCACTTACACCTATAGATGAAATTATATTGTGTATGTCATTATATTGTGGTGTCCAGCTCATTCATATAACAAAACCTCCATGTCCACCTATCTGACTCTAAATACTTCTGACCATAAATAAAGGATTTTCTCCATTTCTAAAAAGCCAAATAGCATTGGGTATACACACTACATTCTACCCACTACAGACTGATGAAGATGAAAGCTGGTTCCATATGATGGCTAGTATAAATAATTCTGCAAAGAACATGTGGGCTCAGGCAGCTCTCTGAAACACTGATCTCATTATCTTTGGGTATACACATAGTGAGATTCATGGCTCATATGGTATTTTTATTGTTAAGTTTTAGAGGAGATTTCATACCATATTCCACAGTAATGGTACTAATTTATATTCCTACCAACAGTGTTTGAGAGATCTCTTCAAAGTCTACTTTCCCCCTCTCAAATAGTATTACTAACAAAATTACAAAAGGGAGTGTTGTACTGCCTCAGTAAATGACCATTCAATAGTGTTGTTCATAGAATTGTTCTTATTATGCCCACACTGTTCTTCTAGGTCAAATTTAACCAGGGTGAGACACGTAAGGTATAATGTAAAAATGCTTTTCTGAAACACCTGTCATTGCTAATTGAGCCACATAGTTACTGACCACATCTCTAAGCCATAACCAATGCTCAGATACATGGGGTCATGTGGTTACTCAATAAATGTTCACTGACAAAGATCAATATCCAAATTGGAACGTCAGTGTATTCATGAATTAAATGTATCTGATTGGGTTATTAATTATTAATAGCTGTAAAAATTGAGAAAGTCTATTGAGATTGATTAGCCACTCATTTCATTTACTAAAGATTCTCAGAAATGTTTTATTTTATCTTAAAAGGCCAAGCTAGGGGCTGGGAAGACAGCTCAGTCAGTAAAGTCCTTGCCACACAAACCTGAGAACTTGAATTCTAACCCTGACTCTCATGTTAAAAAGCCTGGAATGGTGGCATGCTGTTTTAATCTCACCAATGGGGAGGTGGACACAGACAGCAGATCCCTGGAGTTTGATGAACAGCTAGTCTAGATGAGTTCCAGATCCCAGTGAAGGATTCTGTCTCCAAAACACCCAAGGCCCTACAGACATGTGCAAAGACATGAACATGCATACATAGCTACACATACCCCTGGCACCTTTCACACAGAAAGGCAAGGATAAAGTTGAGTGCTAGGACTTACAATCGTTGGAAATTAATGCTTGTCTTTTGCACGACCCCATGCTCTCAGTTCCTGTGATTGGACTTTGGTTCTTAGGGGACTTTGTTTCTTGGGTTTCAATTGACTTGGGACATATTTATGTGTCTGAGCCAGAGACACATTCTTCTTGGGTGGTTCTCAGGGAGTCGCAGTACATTTGGACTGGGCCTAGTCACTGTGCCCAACACAGGATCTCAGTAGGCAGGCTGCGCTGTGGAGCTTCTCATGGACTTGGCCAACACCACAACACATATGAGACTTGGCTTATTTAGTTTACCTCCTTCTGCATTATCTAATACAGGTCTTTCTTCTTTCCTCCCCATAAAAGACACACACACACACACACACACACACACACACACACACACACACACACACCCACAATGAAAAACCCAAAAAATAAAACAAACAAACAAAACCAAAAAACCAGCAAAAAAGCCAACCAACCAACAACAACAAAATCTCCTTTTCTTGATCCTTCTTAGAGCCTGTTATTTGAGATTACTTCAGTTTTTTTGATGTTGCTACTTCTTGATCATTATGCACAGGCCAGTGCATCCTGACGACTAGAGAGCTACACGTTGACACTGGCCACCCTGGTTGTGTTATTCCAATTCCAATTATACATGGGAGCCACAGGAAAGGTCTTCCGCAGGCTCACTCATGGTTTGGAACACTTGCCCTGCACTGGAGGTTCTCAAATTCTGGAATGCAGCAGAACCATGTAAAGAACTTGCTCAAGCACAGACGAATAAGCTCCATCCCCCAGCTTTGGAGTCAGCAGTATGGGGAGGGTCGGCTGAGACTATTTCTGACAGGAGTCCATGCAATGCTGCTGCCTTGGTTGGGGACTACCTTTTAAACCACCATCCTTGACAGTGCTTCATCAAGGTAGGTCCAGTCCTGTTCTGAGTCCTCTTCACATGCTCTTTCTCCTAACACATCCTGCCAGCACTGACACACCCAGAGCTCTGCCTCTCCACATTTTTATCAGACAACTCCAACCTCAAACATTGCTTGGAATTTTTTTTCAACCCACACAACCATTTTCAAAATTCTAATCTTGAACCAGTGCTCCACTCTTTCGCTCATGACTGAACATTCACTGAATAGGAAGGAAGGAAGGAAGGAAAGAAGGAAGGAAGGAAGGAAGGAAGGAGGAAGGAAGGAAGGAGGATGAAAGAAAGAAAGGAAGAAAGGAAAGCGAGAGAAAGGCAGGGGATGGATGGAGGGAGAAAGGGAGGGAGGAAGGAGAGCAAAAGGAAGAAAGGGAGGAAGAAAGGAAGGGAGGGAGGAAGGGAGGAAGGAAGGAAGAAAAGAAGAAAGAAGGAGAGGAAAGAAAAGAAAACCATTGTACCACTGATGGGGAGACCTGGTTATATATGTGGTTATATATATGGTTTTATATATGGTTATAACCCTGGTTATACGGCAGCACAGAGAAGCGAAGACAGCCACTAAAGCTTGAGCTTTAGTACTGGTAGTGCACACTCTAACCAGCACCCAGAGGCTGAGCAAGGCGGATCACCAATTTGGGCTACAGTCTGCTCTCTCTATATGTAGTGAGACTGTCTCAAAGGAGGAAAAACAATCTGCGTCAAAGTGGCACGGAATATAGCTCAGGACATTTAAATTATTAAGTGATGCTCATAGCAGGAATCTGGTTAAATGTATGGCCACTAGACTCGTGGAAAGTAAAGGCAGACTTATTTAATTGGATGAGATTTAAAAGTCTATTTCTTCTAAGCAGTATTCTTCCTTAGCATATTTACTCTAAAAAGCAAGGGGCATAAATATAGTATTTCTTCCTTAAAGTTATACCAAAGTGGTGTTATTCTTACATATGGGGAAAGGAGAAAGCCACACCCCCATAGCTATTTCAAAATCAAAACCGACTTCCTATTGGGGCAGGTGGTACAGCCCTGTGATCCTAACCGCTTGGGAGGCAGAGGCAAAAGCGGGTTCAATGCTTGCCTGGGCAAGCAAGGCCCCGCCTCAGGAGGAGGAGTGAAAAAGGGCTGGAGATGTAACTTAGGGATGGAAAGTTTGCCTAGCATGCAGAAGGCCTGAGGGTCAATCTCCAGCACCACACAAATTCAACAAGGTTCTCGCCTTTCTTCAGATTATAATGGAGAAACAGTACTGTATTCAACATTTTCATCATATCAATTATACCCCATGTAGGAAGCCTGTGAAAAAATTTCAAACGTATCTTGTACTATGAATGTGGATTTGATCACAATTAATAAAAACTAGAAAAAGTGCTGGGGAAATGGCTTAGGAGTTTGAAGAGCTTGCTGGGTAAGCAAAAGAACAAGTGTTTGGGTTCCCAAGATCCTACTTAAATGCCAGTTGGGTGTGGTGGCCCCACCCATAATCCCAGTTCCAGAAGGTGGATGTCTAGGGATTCGTAGAGCAAGCTGGCACCCAGACCTGCCTTTCAGTCAGTGAGCCCTGGTATGAATGAGACCCTGCCTCAAAGAATAATGTGGAAGAGTTATCGAGGATGATTCCTGGCATCAACCTTGGGTTCACAGGCATAGGCACATATATGCATGTGGACCCACACGTGTCCATACATCCATACCGTGTGCACATACAATGAATATGGAAAAAATGAAAAAAAAACTGTCAACACTAGTATTCTACAACAAATACTTGTAGAGAGTATATTATTTCTAAAATATACTCCTATTTCTCTCAATCGGAGCACAGGGGTAGCATTAAATTATTCACAGGGGAAAAATTAGTCTTTTTTTTTCTTTTAGCAGTTAATGTCTAACAATTCCAGAATGCAACAATTAGAACTTGTACCAATCTGAGGATAACTCCATGATGTGCATGACTCAAAAACTATCCTGGCCTGGGAGTGCCCAGGGAGCCTTACAACCCACGTCAAGCTAGGTACACGATCAGAACATGGATCCACATGAAGAAAGCCTTATAAAACAAGGAAAGGAAATCGGGCGGTGGTGGTGCATGCCTTTAATCCCAGCACTCGGGAGGCAGAGCCAGGCGGATCTCTGTGAGTTCGAGGCCAGCCTGGTCTCCAAAGCGAGTTCCAGGAAAGGCGCAAAGCTACACAGAGAAACCCTGTCTCGAAAAACCAAAAAAAAAAAAAAAAAAAAAAAAAAAGGAAATCTATTCTAAACCTAAACAGCATTTACTAAACTCTATGACGGCAGGAAGGAGCTGGCTCTTGGGAGGTCTGCCCACCATGTAATGAACCTGTGCCATGGCAACCACAATATCACATGCTGTGTACAGCTATTCCATGGTAGACAACATTAACTTGAAACTATGACATCTGAAATGTTCCAAATGTTGAAAGATTTTGAGTAGTAAATTTTGTGCAAATATTTCAAATATTAAAACATCTACAAATTTGAGACACTTTTGTTTCTAAGCACTTCCTCAGCCTGTGCCTATTTCTTTTCCTTAACTGACAAATGGACAAATGACACAGGATGATCTTCCCAGATAATCTATGGGACAAATCATGAAAGGTCTCTTTTTTTTTTTTTTTTTTTTTGGAGACAGGGTCTTACTTTGTTAGCCCAAAGTGGCCTTGGACTTGAGTCCTTCCTGCCTCATGCTACGGAGTGCTGAGTTACGGATTCGCACCCTTAGGCCCTGCCTTCCAACAGTCACTTTGATATAGTGGTACAAAGAAAAGAACGAGAACACTTATGGCTTATTGTTTGATCATCACACATAATGCTACAAGCAGCGGGGTGGGGGGAGATGCAAAGTTGGGAAAACCAATAAGGTCATTTTAGTACCAAAAACACGATTCACTACAAGCAGGGGTTGGGGGAGCGTGGGATACAGTATAGAATCTGTCTCACAAGACCAGGAATGACATCCAAAAAGTATTTAAGCATTTAAAACGTACATATATCAATCAATTAGAAAGAATACTGGATGCTGCAGGATTGAACACTTCAGTTGTTAGGCAATCAATTGGGAGATTCAGGAGTCCTAGCAGAAGGGTTTGGAGGTGTGTGATACAGCTCTTCGCAAGAGCCAGCAACATGGGCTGTGACTATAAAGAATCCTGAAGTACCAGTATGGGCAGAGTGGGACAAACTCACCTCAGAACATCTTTGAGTCTGATATTTAAAGACCTGCTTTCCTTTGATAACTTTGGGGATCAACTGATTCCTTGGGCAGACCTTCTTATGAGAAAGCCAGGCATTCAGAAAGAGGAGATGAATATTCTAATTGGGGACCTTGGATCTTTATCACATGGTGGAGTAACAAATATTGAAATTAGGGAAAATGCAGGAAGACACTATCTCTGCAACCTCCTAGAACCAGAACATCAAAGTTCTGAATTACAAGCCTCAGTGTCTTGAAGGAATTAGAAAGATGGTTGCTTGGTGATTATAACCCAGACACAAAGCTAGGCATGATGAAACTCATTGTCCCCATTATTCTTTAACGGCATCTGGTCAGGCACTTATTATTACCGCTGTAAACATTTGTAATTATAGCTCTCCTTATGCTTTGTGAATAAAACATTTCCCTTTAACGTTTGTCCTAAAGTTGCTATTTACTCAAGAGGAATATATAAAGATCAAATGACAGTCTACTTAAGTTTCAAAACACCCAAGTATAATTCAGAACCTGAAGGGGGTTCCTTATGAGCGTCGATACAGCCCTGTCCACCATAGATTGTAATCATCCCCACTGGCCTTTTCTAATTTGTCCCAGATAATGAAGGATGACCACTGGCTTTGAAGTGAGTCTCTATACAACACATGGGAAAATATGGTCAGTCAGTCGCAGTGAATGGTATCTTATTGTAAACATCAAGTTTAATACTGTGTTGTCAATTTACCTTCAAGACTCACTGTTTTAATTCATTTTGGAGAAGAACTGATTATCAAAATTCTCTTTCAAAACATTAGGAAAACAATATGGAGCTATACTTGTTTTCTGAAAAACTTGGACAGTCCTCCTTCATCTACGTTTGTACATTTCCTAGTCCACCCTCCTGTGTCTGCCCTGTGTCTGTTAGTCCCTAGTCTGCCCTCTGTGTCTGTCAGTCCCTACTCTGCCCTTCTGTGTCTGTCAGTCCCTGTGTGTGAATTCAATCAATCACGCATTGAAAATATTCAGGAAAAAATGTGTCTGTACTAAACATGTACATATGTTCTTCTCTTGTCTTCACTTTTCCAAACAATACAGTACAAAAACTATGTGCAGAGACTGGAGAGATGGCTCAGTGGTTAAGAGCACTTGTTGCTCTGGCAGAGGACCTGGGTTCGATTCCCAGCACCTACATCATGGTTCTTAACCATCTTCTGACCTCTAGGAACACCAGGAATGCACACAGTAGTACACAGACACACAATGCAGTTAAGACACTCACACATAAAATAAGATGGATAAGTCTTTAAAAAAAAACCAGACTATGAGCACAGCATTTACATTGTTTTATGTGTTCTAAGTAACCTGAAAATGACTTAAACTGTATAGTACAATGCATGTAGGTAATATGGAAATTAAATCTGCATATTTAATTAAATATATCTACTTACATATATTCAAACATATACGACTTGAGAATCTATAGATGCTAGTACTCCAGGTTTGAGGGTATGTCCTGCAATCAATGCCCCTATTACTAAGGTATGACTAAACCCATTTAACCATCAGAAGAAGAAATGAATGGAAATTTTTAAGACACCAGTGAGTCAGTTCCAAAGACATCTGTTCTATTGTTCAATTATAATGCAACTCATTTGTTGCATGATATGAAATCCTTTTTCAATAAAAATGATCTAAATCACAAAAGTAATAGTGTGATTTTCAGATCTATCAATGTGGAAATTTTACAAACTGAGGTTCCATCGTCCTCCAAAACCACACCTGGGCACCACAGTGAGCCTCTCATGCTGCCCTATTTTCTCTTTTTTGTAGCAACAAAAAGAACAGAGACTCGGGTATTTCTGAACACAATGTGATATTTGCAAGTTTCTTACATTTCCTTGCAATGGACTTACAATAAAAAATCTCTTACCAGGAAGTTCCAGTTGGCATCAATCTGAGTCACCATACCAGAGAGGAACAAGCCCAGGAAGAGAAGGGAGAAGAAGAAAGCTGTCACAGACACAAACATGACCCATCCTTGGAGCAGAGGTAGAGGAACATTGGAGGAAGCCACCAAAATCCAGACAAGGCCCCCAAGCACCTGAAAGAAAAACAATAACAACACAGGGTAGCAGCTTTGCTTTAGAGCACTTTCGTGCCACTGAGTTAAACACATTTGCATCAACTTGCTCTCCCACTTCTCACCCTAGGCCCCTGTACTCATCCCTGCTACCCCATTTATCATTGTTTCCATATTATTACACAAGATGTGTTCTTCCCGCTCAAGACCAGCTCTACCAAGAGCTTGGGTCAACTCTGTACCTGGATTTTCATGTTGGATTCTCTTCCTCATCCAAGTCTTATCTAGTCATCTATATACACCTGCAGGGTTCCTCAGCCATATGTACACACCTGCAGGGTTCCCAAGCCATCCGCACACAATACAGGGTTTTCCAGGCATCTGCACACACCTGCAGGGTTCCTCAGCTATCTTCACACACCTGCAGCATTCTCCAGCCACATACATCCAGCTGCAGGATTTCCCGGCCATTCTCATACACCTGCAGTATCCTCCAGCTATCCTCACATACCTGCAGTATCCTCCAGCCATCCTCACACACCTGCAGTATCCTCCAGCCATCCTCACACACCTGCAGTATCCTCCAGCCATCCTTACACACCTGCAGTATCCTCCAGCCATCCTCATACACCTGCAGCATCCTCCAGCCATCCTCATTCACCTGCAGCATCCTCCAGCCATCCTCACTCACCTGCAGCATCCTCCAGCCATCCTCACATACCTGCAGTATCCTCCAGCCATCCTCACACACCTGCAGCATCCTCCAGCTATCCTCACACACCTGCAGTATCCTCCAGCCATCCTCACTCACCTGCAGCATCCTCCAGCCATCCTCATACACCTGCAGTATCCTCCAGCCATCCTCACACACCTGCAGTATCCTCCAGCCATCCTCACTCACCTGCAGTATCCTCCAGCCATCCTCACACACCTGCGGTATACTCCAGCCATCCTCACACACCTGCAGTATCCTCCAGCCATCCTCACACACCTGCGGTATACTCCAGCCATCCTCACACACCTGCAGTATCCTCCAGCCATCCTCACTCACCTGCAGCATCCTCCAGCCATCCTCATACACCTGCAGTATCCTCCAGCCATCCTCACACACCTGCGGTATACTCCAGCTATCCTCACACACCTGCAGTATCCTCCAGCCATCCTCACACCTGCAGCATCCTCCAGCCATCCTCACACACCTGCAGCATCCTCCAGCCATCCTCACACACCTGCAGCATCCTCCAGCCATCTTCATACACCTGCAGTATCCTCCAGCCATCCTCATACACCTGCGGTATTCTCCAGCCATCCTCACACACCTGCAGTATCCTCCAGCCATCCTCACTCACCTGCAGTATACTCCAGCCATCCTCATACACCTGCAGTATTCTCCAGCCATCCTCACACACCTGCAGTATCCTCCAGCCATCCTCACACACCTGCGGTATACTCCAGCCATCCTCATACACCTGCAGTATTCTCCAGCCATCCTCACACACCTGCAGTATCCTCCAGACATCCTCACACACCTGCAGTATCCTCCAGCCATCCTCATACACCTGCAGTATTCTCCAGCCATCCTCACACACCTGCAGCATCCTCCAGCCATCCTTACACACCTGCAGCATCCTCCAGCCATCCTCACACACCTGCAGCATCCTCCAGCCATCTTCACACACCTGCGGTATACTCCAGCCATCCTTACACACCTGCAGTATCCTCCAGCCATCCTCACACACCTGCGGTATCCTCCAGCCATCCTCACACACCTGCAGCATCCTCCAGCCATCCTCACACACCTGCGGTATACTCCAGCCATCCTCACACACCTGCAGTATCCTCCAGCCATCCTCACTCACCTGCAGCATCCTCCAGCCATCCTCATACACCTGCAGTATCCTCCAGCCATCCTCACACACCTGCGGTATACTCCAGCTATCCTCACACACCTGCAGTATCCTCCAGCCATCCTCACACCTGCAGCATCCTCCAGCCATCCTCACACACCTGCAGCATCCTCCAGCCATCCTCACACACCTGCAGCATCCTCCAGCCATCTTCATACACCTGCAGTATCCTCCAGCCATCCTCATACACCTGCGGTATTCTCCAGCCATCCTCACACACCTGCAGTATCCTCCAGCCATCCTTACACACCTGCAGTATCCTCCAGCCATCCTCACACACCTGCAGCATCCTCCAGTCATCCTCATACACCTGCAGTATCCTCCAGCCATCCTCACACACCTGCAGCATCCTCCAGACATCCTCACACACCTGCAGTATCCTCCAGCCATCCTCACACACCTGCAGTATCCTCCAGCCATCCTTACACACCTGCAGTATCCTCCAGCCATCCTCACACACCTGCGGTATAATCCAGCCATCCTCACACACCTGCAGCATCCTCCAGCCATCCTCACTCACCTGCAGCATCCTCCAGCTATCCTCATACACCTGCAGTATCCTCCAGCCATCCTCACACACCTGCAGTATTCTCCAGCCATCCTCACTCACCTGCAGCATCCTCCAGCCATCCTTATATACCTGCAGTATTCTTCACCCACACATACATATCTGCCATGTTCTCCAGACATTTACTCACACCCGCGGTATCCTCCAGCCATTAACATATACCCTCCAGTAATCCTGCTGCCTCTTTAACTACCACCCTGTTGATGGGTTTTCATTCCAGTCAACATCATACACACTGCCTGGTCTTCATTTCCTCTCTTTCTGCTCTCATTGCTTGCTAGGGAGTTTCTGAGAGAAGAACAGCTGTAACACTCTAATTCCCCATGTACGGTGCACATTGTTCTGTCTTCACCACAGTCTACTTGTACTTTGGACATCAGTTCCTACCCATACAAGCATAGCTTCAACTACCGTTCAAGAGAGTAAGCAATATCAAGGCACCAGCATTTATGATGTACCATGCTCTGGAAATCAAATTTGTACCTTAGATTCATGTCATAGTCGATAACTATCCACGCACTGTGCTAGGTGCTATGAATAGAATCAAGCTGCACTGGCCTCTGTCATCACGAAACCCAGTCTATTATAGGAGACGGACAGCTAAGCAAGTGATGAAAATACTGCTAAACCAATTCCAGAGCTGGGGGTGAAACTGGGTTCTATATTCCCACAAAGTAAACATTCCAGATATAGATCTGAAGTCAGGAAACTTATCCCAGAAGTCATAAGCCCCAGGACTGGGCTGGGATGATTTAGAAAAAAATCTAAGCAGGAGATGACTCTGTAGTGATCAGGTAGGAGACAGGATAGCACCTAGCACAGGTAAAGAACACAGATCAGCAGGATGTGAGCACCTGAGCCAAGTGGTAATAGGTTTGAGGATCTTGAAGACAGTCAAGGAGATTCAGTTCATGCAACCGCAGTGGTGGCCATGCTCAACTTGAACAGAAAGTAGCAACTTCAAGATCTACACTTAGAAGTTTTTCTGGCTAGAATGTGAGAATGGACTGGAGAGGGAAGGATGCCAGGACTCAAGGCTACAGCACAGCATCATGACGGTATGGGGAACAAAGAGAGGTAACGGGTCAGATAGAAATTCATAAGTAGATGATGACTGTACTTGATCGCCCAGGACATGTCAGGTAAGGGGAGTAAGGGCAATCCCCTGATTTCTGGCACAGGGAACTAGGATGGCATGAGAACGCAAGCACAGGAGGAGAAACAGGGGCAAAGGTAAACAGTTTTCTCCATCTTACCATGAAAGCAAGAAAAGTAGCATGGCCTTTGCAGGACACAGTAGTAGCCTTTCGTGATCTGACCAGTCCATTTTATCCTTTCCTTATGCCACCAAGCCCTTCACATTTTTTTTTATTATGGAAAAAAAATCCACAGCTCAAAAACAAAGCTCTTTCACGTCTGAGTGGCTGGCATTACTGGCCCAGGACGTCACTGGAGTATGCTTGAGTCATTAACTCATATCTAATCTTGAACCTAAAAAAAACCATCTCTGCCAAGTTCTACCCACTCTCAGCTACCCTCTCGCGACACCCTCCCCAGGAGGGATTTGTTATGTATTGGACACACAGGGGAACTGAATACCTTGGCTTTGCTCTGTCTTCACTAACACACCTTCTTGGCAGTATACTACTTATATTTCTGCAGTCAAGTCATTTATTAATTCCATGGTTATGCTTTCCTATCAGTTAGAGACTATGCTAGATTTGGCATCACAAAAACTTTGCTCACATCCTTGCCTCAAAGATGCCTCAGGCAGGTAGGAGCACCCCCACCCCCTGCCCAACACAGGATGTTCTCAGTATTTGTTTAGTGAACAAACAGAGTAGTGCTTATATGAGAGCTGTTTGAGCTCCAAACCTGAAAGGCCAACAGGCATCGACATGTGGCTTCATATATACTTAGGTAATATCCAAGTTGAACAAATCACAAAAGATAAAAAAAACAGTCAAGTTTTAAGACAAAGGGCTCAGCCATATATATATATATATATATATATATATATATATATATTGGTTTTTCGAGACAGGGTTTCTCTGTGTAGCTTTGCGCCTCTCCTGGAACTCACTTGGTAGACCAGGCTGGCCTCAAACTCACAGAGATCCTCCTGGCTCTGCCTCCCGAGTACTGGGATTAAAGGCGTGCGCCACCACCGCCCGGCTCAGCCATATATTTTGATGGACTTAGAAAAAACACTCTGTAAACATAATACATTACTGCTTGTGTAATGATAGTTCAAGTATTCACTTAATAAACTTAATAGTTGTGGTATTATATCTCAATTCCTGTTGGTTTCAAATAAAAAATTAACAACCCCCAATGTTTTATACAATAAATTTAAGTAATGAATATTAATGCGTGTTAATTTAAAACTGCTGCTTTATCAGTGATCATGAGAGAATAAATTTGTTCCTCATATTATCTCCTCTCTTATATCATTTAATGCATATTTGAAGGCAGTAAGAATGTCTCTAATACATCAATCTTTTCTTGCTTGCTTGGGTCTTCTTTCTAGTAGCCTTTTCTTATTC